CAACTAATTTGGAAAGCAAATATATATTTTTAAAGGTTTTAGAGGTTCAGTGAACTCTTTGAATGATAACATATATAGTTCCCCATATATGGACCCTATATAAGATTACAAACCAGGCAGCAGTTTTCCAAAGAACTTGACCAAAATTACATTTACAGACTGGAAAAAAAAATCAACAAACAAAAACATAGATTTGCTTTTTACCATGCAAAATGTCTTAAGCTATAATTATCAAAAATTAAAATAAAAAAATAATAATAATAGCACAGACTAGTACTTTGTTCAATAGACATTTCAGTACTGATGAAATCATCTAAATCTGAACTGTCCAGTGTGGTCTCACTAGGTAGTTACTGTGTGCTTGAAATGTGGCTAGTGAGACAGGGGAATATATAACTATTTATTGGATTTAATAAATTTAAAGATATATATGTAACTAGTGTTTTTTTGGACCATAGGCACATATTTAAATTAAATATTCAATTTTAAGTATAATATTTACATAAGCATACTTTTAACATCTTTGCCTTTTAAAAGGCCTTTGAATTTTAAATATGATTAAATTATACCACTTTTAATACTAGCATTCTATTATAACAGATTTTCTCCATAGAAAATCATTGTAGTTTTGATTTGGTGGTAGAACACATGCATTGTAATTACTTAGCATTAATAAAATTTTTGAAAAGTTGACAAACTATGGAAGAAATAAATAATCTTGAAAAAACCTGAACATTTTTTTCTTTCATAATTTTTTATTTAGCCCAATAAAAACCCTTTCAGAAGAATTGAGCTCAACTTTGCAAAACTACACTCTGTGATAGCCTATGAAAGGCTGAATTTTTCTCTTAAGTTGATATTTGCCATTTTTGTTGTTGTTTTTTAATATATTTTTATTGATTTTTTTTTATAGAGAGGAAGGGAGAGATATAGAGAGTTAGAAACATCGATGAGAGAGAATTATCAATCAGCTGCCTCTTGCACACCCCTTACTGGGGATGTGCCCACAACCAAGGTACATGCCCCTGACCGGAATTGAACCTAACCTGGGACCCTTCAGTCTGCAGGTTGACGCTCTATCCACAGAGCCAAACCGGTTTCGGCCCATTTTTGTTTTAAATTATGACCTTGGAGATTTCCACTTTTGTCTTTTTATATGCCTTCAAATTTATTACTTAATTTTTTCCTTTTACATGATTACTTCTATTTTAACTTACACTTCCCTACAACACAGAATTATTTCTATCTTTAACTAATAGGTTACCTACATTTATAAGCATGTCCACATGCTAATTTTTCCAATTGCATTTTGCTATAGGAAATTTGGTTTCTTAAAATTATAGGTTCATTTTCTTATCTAAGTGCCAAGCTTCTGAGTGATTTAAACACTAAAAGGTTTTCAAAACCTTGATTTTAAAATAAATTGTACTGCACTTCATCCAACTTTATTTAATAAAGTCTCATTTTTTGTTTCTCTTGGAGCAAGAGTGCCTGAGCCAATGGGAGCCAGGGCTTCAGGCAGGCCTGCAGTCCACAGCCCATCAACCCACTGCACCAACACATTGACTGCTTACTTTCTTGATCCTTGGGCAAAGTGATTTCTGAAGGAGTTCAAGAAATGCATCTTGTTTAAGCCATTAGTAAATATATGTGGAAGGAGAACAAAAGCAAAGATTGTTTTTAAAGTTTCTGACTTTTTGTACGCATGCTCAAGTAACTCATAAAATCTGGCCATTAGGTTTTAGCAGTGCCTTGAAACTCTGAAAGCAGTGAGGAAATGATGAGAGAAAGGAACATCTAAGAGGGTGAGATGGGCACTTCATAGTCACCTACATTTTATGTTGCCTTATCCAATGCTGAATTATATTGCCACCTAATAGAATTAGAACTATAGAGGAAATGGTTTTTAAAAGTTTGGGGCAAAAGCATCTTCTACTTGTAGGTGCTTTAACACCCACAACTAGCTAATTTTGTTAATGCACTGCATTTTTGTGTGGAAAGCTTATAATTGCTGTAACAGTGTACTCCTTTTCTCAAGAGTCTGTGTTGTGGTTTTCCCCCCCTGAGTCTTTATGCTGGGGATAAAATTGTAATTGTGGGATATATGCTATTTACATTGAAGTGTTCAGTAATTATATTGTGTGGAAGACTCAATTGGAACTAGAATGGAAAATAAGAAATAATCTTCAGGGCCAGTCATTAAGCATTGGCAACATGTAAACAAGGAAATGTTAGCAGATAATTTACATGATAATACAAAGTGTTATAATATTTATATAAATATAAGAATCAGCCAGTTCAGGAAATTACTCAGATATTTTTTATGTGAATGTTAGCTTTCAAGGCAGGTTAGTAAACTGATCATAGCTAACCATGTCACAGTGCACTCATTAAATGTGTTTATTTTGACTAGAGTGACTATTGATTGGAAAGGTTTCCTGGTGTTTCCATATGATCACTCTGTTTCTCTGGCAGATATTGCTCAGAATTTCTAAGAATGTCATTCAACAGTTACACTCTGAATCACATATCCTGAAGATTTTTATTTCTGAACTTGAACTTTATTCTCTGTTAGTCTGCTCAGAGATCTATTTTTCTTTTTTTTCAATTTTAAAAGCTCTTAATGGGCATTACAGTGAATCTTGATTTTGTAAAGTTGTACAGAAGAGTAGAAGCTGTGACTGAATGTTTGGTGCATTATTTTGTCTGACTTTCTAAACAAAACACATGGGCTAAATACATTCATTCCTGGAATCAAATGAAAGCTTCTAGCATTGGCAAGAGCTACGAGTAAATAGATTTTTAATTACTTGTCATTGACAGTGGTATCTCTGAAATGCAACAGAACTGACCATTTGGAAGCTGTCATTAATTGGCAGGTCATCAAATAAAAGTTATTCTCATTAATTTTGGTTTTGATAAGTTAATCACCTCCCCATAGTTGGGGGTATCTGAGCAGGGATAGAACTCTTTCCCTTTACCCATATGCATGATCAATAATTAACTCCTTGAGACTTCCCAGTCATTACGTTAGAAGTTTGAGCTCCTCAAAGTATGAGCTGAAACCGGTTTGTCTCAGTGGATAGAGCATCGGCCTGCGTACTCAAGGGTCCCGGGTTTGATTCCGGTCAAAGGCATGTACCTTGGTTGTGGGCACATCCCTAATGGAAGGTGTGCAGGAGGCAGCTGATCGATGTTTCTCTCTCATTGATATATCTAACTCTCTATCCCTCTCCCTCTCTGTAAAAAAAATAATAAAATATATATATTAAAAAAGTATAATATGAAATGAAAAGACAACTAGTATTTTAAGCATCGACTAATATGACAGATTCTGTGCAAACTTTAGTATGAATACTCAAAACCTTCATCTCAATGGCAAAGCCATGTCATTTGTTTATTTCTGAGGAGCAAATTGTTTAGCACCATACAAGGTAAAGCAGTATATAGGACCATATCCTATTTAGACAAAGGCAGAAGCTGAGTAATGTTTTATATGCCTTAAAAGAAAAGAAAAAATCCCTACCTGGTTTAGCTCAGTGGATAGAATGTCGGCCTGTGGACCGAAGGGTCCCCTGTTGGATTCTCATCAAGGGCACATATCTCAGTTTTTGGGCTTCTCCCTGGCTCTGGCCCTGGTCAGGACACAAGCAGGAGACAGCCAATGTGTTTCTCTCACATTGATATTTCTCTCTCCCCCTCTCTTCTACTCTCTCTAAAAATCAATGGAAAAATATCCTTGGGTTAGGATTTAAAAAAAGAAAAAGGAAAAAGACATGACTCATGTGCCTTGTGAATCCTTACTATTATAAATACCATGAAGTCAGCATGTTCTCTAAAGTTCGATATATTTTATACTTTGAAAAGTATTATTCTATTTTATAGATGGAGAAACTGAGGCACAAAGAGGCTTACAAAGGAGCCCAACATCACACAGATACCAAGTGAAACACAGAGATTTTAAGTGATAACACTGTTTAACAGTCTCATATACTATTAACCACTGTGACATATTACTTCCCCAAGCTTGGATGTTGTGATACTTGAAAAATAACTTAAATCATCCCAAGTAATCCCTGACAGGTCTGACAGTATTCTGGAAATGCATTTCAGTCATTACAAGTATTCCAAAAGCTAAATAAAATGCTGATGACATTGCTTTTCTGTTGAAATTTACCTGACTCGGGCAAACTTACCAGTAGAAGGCTCAGATCTTTTATTAAAAATGTATTTTAAATATATTTTATAAACAGGCTTATTACTTTATAAAATATGCTTGCTTACATTTATCTGACTTTTAATTATTAAAATTCTTGTCAAATCTCCTCAGGGACACTTCTGAATTTGCTGATCAATTATAAATTTCTGCATGCAATATAAGTATTATTAACCTTTCTTAGATGTGATACTATATATTTAATGAAGAACAATACTGATTTCATAACGGTTTCAGTTCCATTTTTCTTTTCATTAAAGGACTTTATTCTAAATCTTTAAAGCACTAAGATTCTTATTTTGGCAAAAACAACTTCATTTAGGCTGTAAAAAAAATATTTAAGTTCTATCTATTCTTAAAGGACTTACTTTATCATTAGTTTCAGTCAAATGGTGTCTTTTTTCTTACCTTCTTGACTTCATATGTTAAAATACTTTTTAAAAAAATGAATCCATCAAGAAATTGTCTTAGGTAAGCTCTGGATAACAATGAATTGGAACCCATCTATCAATGTGAGATATCTGAGACCCTAATCATCATTTTTAACTTTATTGATAAAAAAAAAACAACTTCTGGGAACATGGGGACATGATTTTTAGGTGTTTTTTTTTTGTTGTTGTTGTTGTTTTTTTATAATCAATCTCTTCCGAGGGATTGCTATTTTAAATCTTTATTTTTAAGAATGCACAAAGTAAAAGTATAATTCTACATTCACTGTTAAAATACTTGTTTTATAGGTAAAGAAATGTGGAAAGTTGATTTCCCCCCATTTTTGTTTTTATAGATGTTCGAAGAAGAACAATTTATGAATACCACCGAGTAGAGTTACAAATGTCAAAAATTACCAACATTTCAGCTGTGGAGATGACCCCATTACCTAGTAAGTTAATGTCTGAACATAACTAAGTGGGAAATGATTTACAAGTTTGATGACCTGGTCTATTCACCAATAATAATAACATGGTGCTTGACATGGACAGGTATCTTGCATGAATACAGGAATGGGTGGTTCGTTTTTATTTTGACTGAGGCATCAATATTGTTGATTTCTCCATCCGCTTAATTAGTCTGGATGACTGCATTCTTTCCTGTTTCCTAGCGTGCCTCCAGTTCAATGGTTGTGGCCCCTGTGTATCCTCTCAGATTGGCTTCAACTGCAGTTGGTGTAGTAAACTTCAAAGGTAAACAAAAATAATACAAAAAATTTGAATTTTAAAGACTTGCTGCTTCTGCTCTTCCATTAAATTTTAACTGTGCCAGGTGTGTTGATTATCATGCGTATGTATAATTTTAAAAAATGCCATGAACAAAAAGCATTAAGAAAATGTTTACACATGGAAATTTTTGGTTTTTCCTTTACCTGCTTGCTCAAAATTATGAAGATCGTCATGTCAATAAGATCTGACATACATTTGTAATCTCTGTGGGACTTATGATAGATGATGATTGCAATTGAAAAGTCTTTAAATTGATGCTTTTGGTCCATATTCTACGGAGAGCATGATGTTAGATATCTTTACTATGACAAGGAGAATTTCTTCTCAAGCACATGAGTATTTTTAGAAAAATACTGTAAATACCTGAAAGGTTACTGGCCAAGATGAAATACATAGTGTGAGGGTGAGGAAGAGAATGACATCAACTGGCCTTTACAGTACAATGGGTGGCTTTGGTCTGTGCTGTAACTAACTGACTTTGAAACTTAAGCTGCCTCACTTGGCAAAGATGGTTATGATTGTCATGTATGGTAAGGGTTTTTTTTTCCTTAGAGCATAGGAGATTCTGAATGATCATTTGTTAGGAATACAGAGTGAAGACCTTTACATATATTTTGGTATTTACTCAACCATTTGAGCATGAATTGTGTCCCAAGCACTGGGAAAGCATCAGTGAGTAACATAGATGTAGTCTCTGCCTTCCAGGGAGCATAAGGTCTAATCTGTCTAAAAGTAAGTCCCCCTCTCACCTCCAGAGTCTGTGATAAATCTGCTTCTCCCTCCAGGTGGAGAACCAAATTTTCAAGATGTTAGTCAGTGCCTGTGGCCTCAGAGTTTCCTGCTGTAAGCTGTCTCTGTCTTATCATCTTGCTGCAGCATTTGCTGTAATGATAGAGGCATGTTCAGGAATATTTTACAAGTTATCAGAGTATAAAGAATAGAATGCCATTTCCTTGATAACAAGCTTTAGGAAACATGTTTAACTTGCTAACTTTGGGGCAACCACTACATTATTCTGGATAGAACCATATTATTTATTATAATTTATGTTTTGTTTTCAATTAAACATGTTCCAATAATTTCCTTTGGGCAATGATTTTCAAATAATGAGAAAGCAAGCAGACAATTAGCATTCTTAAGAGTAGATTTTAACTAGCTGAACCTCCAGAGTAGGAAGAACTGATATAAAATCAAGGGTGTGTGGCTATTTATATTCATACTAGAGGCTCGGTGCATGAAATTCCTGCACTGGGGGAGGAGGCCCTCAGCCTGGCCTGCGACCTCTCCCAGTCCAGGACCCCTCAAGGGGATGTCTGCCTGCTGGCTTAGGTCTACTCCCACAGTCCTTAGCGCTGCGGCAGAGGCAGAAGTGGCTTCTGCCACCGCCCCTGCGCTCACCAGCTAAAGCCCAGCTTCTGGCTGAGTGGTGTTCCCCCTGTGGGAGCACACTGACCACCAGGGGGCAGTTCCTACGTTGAGCAGTTGCCCCCCTGGTGGTCAGTGCACCCGTCGATTTGCATATTAGCCTTTTATTATATAGGATTTTGATGACATTTCACACAAATTACATGCATGTTAGAAATTATGCAAAATCTTTTTAGCTAATGACCAAAGTGAATCTAAAGCGATAGTATTTTAATATGCATATTTAAGTAATGCTGAGCTCAGACATGAAAAATGTCCAAAAGAATGAAGTAGAAATCTCTGGTTTGGGATGTATCAAATTCAAATTCCAGTTTAGTGATCAGCTCCTCTGAGAAGTCTCCCTAAGCCACAAGTTAGTGTGAAGTGGCCAGCCCCTGTGTGTCCCTGGCATCCTGGACATACTTGCATCATTAGCATTTAGCTGTTCATTCATCAGTCTCCTTCATGGGCTCTGGATTTAGTAAGCATGTTTGGCCCTTTTCCCTACAGCACCTAAGAATGTACCTGATGCTGCAGAAAAATAGATGAATGGGTCAATGAATGAATGAATGAATGAATGGTGATTTGGTCCCAAGTGAAGAAATCCTGATTAGATTTGTCTGGGATCAAAGGGTTTCCCAGGATGAGGGGCTTGCAATGTGGAAACTAGAAAAGTCAAGGGAAATCCAGGTCAAGGTTGCCACCCGGCCAGAGCACTATTAGGATAATTCTGGACTGAAATAATGTTTTGGTAATTGAAGGTTTGGGACATTAGTCTATAAACCTACATTCTACTAACCATTTCATTGTGGTTTTAAAACATCTTATTGGTGGAAATAAATGTTTAAAGTTCCAAACAAGCAATTTTGGCAGTAAGATGACATACACAAATTGGAAACTGCTTTGTAATATTAATATTTTCATCAAATTGAGAGATTTCCTTTCCAGTCATTGTGCTCAGGAATGTTCAAATATATTTAACGTGTACAACATTTTTACAGTGGAGGAAACTGAAGATACGTTATCTGTGCAGGATCTACTGTGCTTCAGTGTTAAGTTCAGAACTGAAGCTTAATTGGTGTGACTACCCTGTCTGGGGTTTTGGCATCTGACCTGTTCTTCCTCATACCTGCCAGGCATCAGGTACAAGTTAATCTTCATCATGGCCTAAGAAATGGTAGGCATACTGCTGAAAAGTTAAAATTTTTATAGTTACTACTGCAAGAAAGTGATAAAGTTTTTATAGGCATAAAAGAATGCAGCTGAAACCGGTTTGGCTCAGTGGATAGAGCATCAGCCTGCAGACTGAAGGGTCCCAGGTTCAATTCCGGTCAAGGGCATGTACCTTGATTGCAAGTATATCCCCAGCAGGGGGTGGGTAAGAGGCAGCTGATCGATGATTCTCTCTCATTGGTGTTTCAACTCTCCATCCCTCTCTCTTCCTCTCTGTAAAAAAATCAATAAAATATATATTTTTTTAAAAAGAATGCAGAAGAGACTCAAGCAAAACATAAGACTATCGTATGTTATTGAAAGCATAGTGTTTTGTTTTTTCACAAATGATAGAAAAAAGAAAGGTCCCCGGAGAAGCATATGAATGAGGAAGAAACTCATCAAATAACACTACTAAAAAAAAAAAAAAAAGGCATGAGATTTTTGCATGTTACCACTTACTGTTTTGTTGAATACCATATTCATATTTAAAATCTAGGATTTATTTTTAGTTCTTCAGCAACCCAGTTATTTACAAAATAAAACATGCCTAATTAATTGGTTTAACTATGGCTCATTGCACCTTTGTTTAACTTAATTTTTCCACTGCATTCTATTAATTTCTCCTTTGACCTATGAGCTTCAAAACTTGGCTTTTGCTGCCTGGAAGCATTTCCCCAGACTTTAGAGCTTTTATTAACAAATTCACAAACAAGAGGAGTCTTATCCTTAGCAGCACAAAAGATGCCTCACAGATTTTCCTTTCATCCTTCTTATATTCTCCTTTGTTCTCATTTATCCCTGAATAATAATCAGTTGATAGTGCTTATTGAAACTCTCAAAGTGGGCTTGCATTAAGAAGATATGTTTAATTGGTTTGTTTATTTCCTTTAATTTTTATTCTTCAAGGAGCAATAAACTAAGGGAGAACGTTTATAATGGCTTACCCAAAGTATAAAGGAAACTGGGTATTAGGGATATATACAGAACACAATCGTGCGTACCTAGAATAGATGACCCACTTATTCTAGGCTAAGGATGCTTTTATTTATTCACTTCAAATTGAGAGGACATGAATCAACCACTTTTGGATTCAGTTTGAGATACCTAGCAGACTTCAATTGGACATGTAGAGTAGATATGAATAGATAAGCTGAAAATTCCAGAAACAGTTTATGTCTAGAGGTTCAGACATATCACTGTATTGTTGATAGTATTTAAATTCATGAGATCAGGCATGAAAGAGGTGTAAATTGAAAATAAGATAGAATCCAGGAACTAGCTCATAGCATGGCATAATGTGGACGGTGCTGATTTTCCATTACATACATGATGTTGCTATCAACAGAAAAAAGATACATATGAGAATAATGATATTGTTTGTCTTTGGTGAAGATACAATGAGCTGGAACAGGCATGAGAATGAGTATTACTTTTCAGTAAGTTCTGGTTCGTATGACTTGAATTTTTGCCACATGGATTTGAAGACAAAAGGAGGCATCAGCAAGGAGAAATAAGAGAACAAATTCTTTAAAGGGTAGAAATGCAGTCTTACTTATTTTAGTGTCCTCCACAGCATCCAACACAGTATCTGGGCTAATAGAGGAATCCAGCATATACCATTTGGACTGAATTATGCAGATAATTGAGGCCAGAAGCTTCTATTTTCCTGAGAATTGTAATTACTGACATTGCCTTTGTCAGTGTCAACCAAATGACTATAGAAAGAACAAAGCTGATGCCTGGCATAGAAGGTCAACATTTATAATTAGGCATGTTGAAGACTAGGGAGTTAGACTCTTGGTGCCTTTTCCACTTTATATTTACCGATATCCAATCAAAGTAATAAGACTGGTTTGGGTAAAAATTTGGGAATAAATACCTCCTATTTTTCTTCCCATTAAAATAATAAATATAATTGCAACCCCCTAATAATGGTAAGTACCTCTATTTATAGAATAGTACTATGACATATTTACTTTAAAAGGAATATGAGAAGAGGGAAAGATGTTTCTGAATAACTGCTGTACATTTTTCAACCTATTATTTCAATTGCATTTTGCTAAGCCACTATGGCACTGACTGCCGTTTTCCAGTGAATGAATTGGATTTCTTCACTGCAACAACAAAAGAAGTAGAAAGTATCACATGTGACATACTTTTAGAAATTTGAAAATGTGTAAGTTAAACACTGCCTAATACTAATTCATTTATGATAGGAAAGGTATCATAAACCTAAATTAATTAAATCCTTTTCATAGAACCACAGCTAGTTTTTAAAATTAGAACGTATGTGTATCATTGTAGTAGAGGCCTGGTGCATGAAATTCATGCGCTGGGGGTGGGGG